CTAGATCTGCCACTGRTCTGGAGTCAACCCAATTCAAGATAGACGCCACAACTGACTTTAGCCACAACAAAAACTKCTCTAACTTAGTTTTACAGATACTGAGCTAAGATTTGTGTGATCGTAGCTTGTAGTTATTAAGTAGCAGTCAATATTGATTTAGAACCAATAAATCCACTTCAATGGCTCTCATGGAACTGATAGAACAAATAACAACTGCTATTGGCCAAAAATAATATTGTGTTAGTATTTATGTTAATTTGAAGAAAGCATTCAACACAAGTGACGACAGCATTCTGCTTGAAAAACTAAATAAATATGGGATTAGAAGACCAGCGTTGCAGTGGATATCTAGTTATTTGGAAAATAGGAAACAGTTTGTACAAATAAATGATGTAAGATCTAAAYTCAGTAAAATTACCTGTGAAGTTCCTCAGGGTTCTGTACTCAGACCAAAGTTGTTTATCTTACAAATGAATGACTTGGTAAATGTGTCGGAGCTTTCCTACCTTTGATACTGTGATACTGATGATACTAACTTTTTTGTTTGGGTAAAGACAGAACAGATGCTAGAGATGATGCAAATATAATTTGCGAAAATACAAAATTTAACAAATTATCATTAAATTTGGATAAAACTAATTATATGATATTTACAAATAGACAAAGAACTGTTAATATTCCATTTACAATTTATGGTGAAGAGATAAATAGAGTCAGTGAGGTGAAGTTTTTGGGTGTTATTATTGATGAGAAACTGACATGGAAACCTCACAAATTATTTAAGAATAAAACTAGCTAAATCTATTGCATTGTTTTACAAAGTAAGGGACTTGTTTAATGGTAAAGCTCAGTATATGTTATATAACACATTAATTGTTCCACACTTGGTATATTGTGTTGTGGTATGGGGGAATRCATGTAAGACTATTACAAATCCTGTTTTTGTTTTTCAGAAAAGAGCTRTAAGAGTTATCACTCGAAAACACTACCATTATCCATCTGATAAATTAACTGAAATTATTGAAACACTATGAATTGGTTTATTATAACATTTTATTAGCTATGTATAAGGCTCACCAAAACACATAACCTTTAAACATTCAGATAAAATTTACTGAGATATAACCTTGAGGGGATAGATACGTTCAAGAAACCTAAATTTAGATTAGAAGAGAAGAATTAGAACAAGATTGTGGAATAATCTGGATGAGGATGTTTAAAATGCCAGATCAATGTACATGTACAAGAGAATAATAAAAGTTGGGCTATTGAAGAAATATGAAGCAGTATTATAGTATTCATGTAAATTTGTGTTCTAAGATTTGACTTTTTTTGTTTTTGTTAACCGAAGATTATTATTGTTTGAGTTTATACTTGATAAAAAAGGGGTTAGATATAAGATTTTTTCTTCTCTCTGCTGCCTTTCATTTAACTTTATTTGTGTTTTATTTTTTATTGTACATGGAAGTAATTTGCTTTAAAGAATTGAATAAAGATTAAAAAAGCAATCCCCCATGATATACTTTTGATGCACATTGTTCTCCTGAGATCTCACCTTATTGCATCAATATTGCCATATTGACCAAATAAGGCTATAACCAGTGGATTGCAGGTTCGATCACCCATTATAGATATATCAGTTGTTGTGCCTTTGGGCAAGACACTTCACTCAACTCGCCTGCTGGTGGTGGTCAGAGGGGCTGGTGGTGGTCTGGTCAGAGGGGTTGGTGGAGCAGCATGGCAGCCTCGCCTCTGTCAGTGTGCCTCAGGGCAGCTGTGGCTACAGTGTAGTTTACCCTCATCAGTTTGTGAATGCGTGATGTAAAGCATCTTTAACTATATAAGACTAATGCAT